ATCGGGATAGCCTCCGCACCCCTCCACCCCCTCGAGGCGTGGCTCCTCCGTCCCGCGTCGCGCGGGAGCCAATATCGGGATAGCCTCCGCACCCCCACCCCCGGGTGCGCGCGCTACAGTGGCGCCTTTCGAAAAAGGCGCTTTCCCTGGCTTCTGGACATTTCCAGTCTCCTAAGTTGGGAAAGCTCTGCTGGGGGTGGGGGTGGGGTGGGGGATGGTGGAGGAAGAGACACTCAAATGTCCTGTGTGCTTAATAGGTCCCCGGATCAATGATCACATCTACTTTTCTATTTATTATTTATTTATTTATTCATTCATTCATTTATTTAGGTTTTTCGAGACAGGGTTTCTCTGCGTAGCTTTGGGCACTTGGTAGCCCAGGCTGGCCTCGAACTCACAGCGATCCGCCTGGCTCTGCCACCACCGCCCGGCCTTTTTTCTTTAAAGATTTATTTATTTATTATATATACAGTGTTCTGTTTGCACGTACCCCAGAAGAGGGCACCAGAACTCATTACAGATGGTAGTGAGCCATCATGTGGTGGGTGCTGGGAATTGAACTCAAGACCTTTGGAAAAGCAAGCAGCGCTCTTAACCTCTGAGCCATCTCTCCAGCCCCCACATCTAATTTTCAAAACAAGCTTTTAGGATGCAGCTGGGCACCTGGGTGCTACCGAATTCCAACCATCAGTGGGAGGTACTAGGTGACTCTCAGAGGGGTCCTGCCAGGCTCTGTGGGTGACAGGGTCAAGACAGTTCAAGTCTAGGAAACAATAATCTCCCTCTACCCTTTTCACACTGGAGAAGAGTCAAGGAGGGCATGGTCATCTTGACAAAATTGGCCAGGGGGTTGAAGGACTCTCTTCGTTCTATTCCCATGTGTCCATTCCTCCCAGAGTACCTACCAGCCCCTTACTGCGAACCATGCACCAGGCCAGGCCAGCATTTAAGAACCACCGGTTCCCAGAAGGGCCTTGAGAAATATTCTATCACAAGGCAACATCAGTAGTCTGGGGTTAATGAGAAATCCTACCCTCCTGTAAGACGGTAACAATTGCAGAGTCCAGATCACTGGCACAGGACTCGGACTGTTCATCATTTAATTTTCGACACACACTGCCCAGTGGGACATCTTCAGGCCAGGACTCTGAGCTAAGAACCGTCTCCATCCCCACTCAACAGATGAGGAGAACCCAGGAGCTAGACTTAGAACCAAGAAGCTGTACTCCCAATCTGAGGTAGGAAAGTCCCAAGACAGACCACACCTTTCTTTTATCTTTCTTCATAAGGTAGGATGGCAATGGACTAAGTCTACAGTTTCTTTTACCGGTGGATCTGGGTTGTGATTTCAGTTCTCTAATGCGAAACTCTGCTGGAACATTTAGGCAGGCCCGAGGCATAACCATCTATCTTTTAACCACATTTCCAAGTGATTAAAAGGCTCTGTCGGGGCTGAAGAGATGGCTCAGTGGTGGAAGATCACTGGCTGCTAGCTTGGTCTGTTTAAGGGGCCCCTGACAGTGGGATCAGGATGTATCCCTGGTGCCGGAGCTGGCTTTCTGGAGTCCATTACCTATGGTGGGATGCCTTGTTCAGCCTTGATACAGGAGTGAGGAGCTTGGACCTGCCTCAACTGAATGTACCAGGCTTTACTGACTCCCCATGGGAATCCTTACCCTTTTGGAGGAGGGGATGGAGGGTCGGGATGGGGTAGGCTGGTGGGGGAAGCGGGAAGAGGGATGAGAGGGGGATCTGTGGTTGGTATGTAAAATGAATAAAAAAAAAATTTCTTTAAAAAAAATCACTGGTTCCTCTTCCAGAGGTCCGAGTTCAGTTCCCAGCAACCATCTATAATAGGATCTGATGCCCTCTTCTGGCATTCGGGTCTACATGGGGAGCAGTCATACATGAAACATAAAAAATAAAATGTAGCTGGGCAGTGGTGGCGCACGCCTTTAATCCCAGCACTCGGGAGGCAGAGCCAGGTGGATCTCTGTGAGTTCGAGGCCAGCCTGGACTACCAAGTGA